AAGAGAGAGAAGCAGGACGGAGAGGACCCGGAACAAGGAGGGAGACAGAGAAGCAGGGGAGGAACGGAGAGAGAAGGAGAGAACGGGAAGAGAGAGGACAGAAGGAGAAAGAGGGAAGATGGCAAACAGCAGAAAGAAGGTAAGGAGAAGAAGGAGAAAGGAAGGAAGGAGAGTAGGAAGAGAGAGGAGAGGAGAGACTGATAATGTAATTATGTAACATATTGTATTATGACAATGTAACATATTGTAAAGAGAGAAGGAGGATGTAAGGGGTTTGGCGGTTCCTTGAAAACGCTCCGGCAACCTTTAGGGGAGTCCGGAATAAACATCCTATACGGCATCTTTCATTACAATTACATAATAAATACGTAATAATATTGCATTTACATTACATTTTATTATATATGAAATATAACGTGTTAAATATGCAATTAATGCAATATGTTTGATGTATTAAAGTGAAAATACATATGTAATACATAGCAGGTATATTGCGCATATACGTAACTATTTATGTATCAAACACGTAGTTGATAGATATTGGATAAGATTTAACCTATGAAAACCTTTAATAAACGGAAAGTCAAACACGTTTCTGTAATCGTAATCGCGGTGATCAGATGTTAAAATATTATAAATGTTGATTATATATGTGAAAAAGAATTTAGTAAGTCAAAGGTAAGTTTTTTATATTTTATTGTAATGATTAGAATTTCCATATGGTTGTACCTTGTGCAATATTAATGCGTATTTTATTATAATTGTTATTTTTCTAGTTTACATAATAAATAATTTTTTATATAATGGATAAACAATTAAGTAACCGTGATATTTCTTCGCGGCATAAAAGACGATTAGCACAAAAAGAAACGGAAATGAATTATTTCTTGCTAGAATTGTCAAGTAGTGGTGTGACTAATTTTGGACCATTGGGCGAATGCATAAAAAAATGTCGAATTGAAAATGATCAATCATCAGTTTCAACGATATCTTCTCCTAGTAATGATCAATTGCCAAACTTTAGTGACAATAATAATGAAGAATATTCGGATAACACAGAAGTAGTCACAGACAGAAAATTTTATTGATGCTAAAAAACGAGAAGAAATGCAACCTTTATCATTAGATTCTGACAATTCAAGTGACGGCGCAAGTGATAATATCAACATTGATGATAAAAGTATGGATAATGAATTGTTGTGCAATCTTCGAAATTGGTCTTTTGAATTTAAAATTAGACATAATGCAATTAATGCTCTTATGGAGATTTTGAGGCATGCTCCGCATTCACAATTTAAAATTTTACCAAAGAATGCAAGAGCGCTTCTAAAAACACCCAAGAAAACTACTGAAGTAGTTGCATTAGCAGGAGGATCGTATTACCACTTTGGTTTATCGAATACTTTGGAAGTATTCCTGCAGCAAAAGTATGTCTTTGAAAGTATCTGAAATTAATTTATTAATTAATATAGATGGTTTGCCAATATCCAGATCACCGCCAAGTAGTTTCTGGCCAATATTACTTTCAGATGAGATTTCAAACCAAGTGCATATAGTCGGGCTGTTTTATGGTAAAAAAAATCAAACAATTCCAATGAATACTTACAACCATTTGTGGAAGAATTAATCACACACACATATGTTATACATAATTAATGGTTCTACCATATACGCTTCATTGTTCGTAGTAAAAAAAAATTATTTTTTATTTTTTTTTCCATTGTAACATGGTCTGCGTTTCGATATTCACTGTCGGTACTGAAAATCTATAGTGTACGTAACATAAACTATAGATTTTCAGTACTGACAGCGAAATAGGAATGCATCCATAATTGACAATATTCTGGTTTTAATTAATCAATATTTCGTTAATTGATTATCGACTTACGATTATTTAATTATTTCATCCGACTAATGTGCAATTTATGTTTATGCTGGTTATGATTGTCTGCATTACTCATCATCAAATAGCAGTAAAATAAAAGAAGGTGATATATAAACGTAATCAAAGAAGATTTGCATTTGTGACTATTCGACGATATTTGTTCATATTCATTCGCATTCGTGTCTGTACATTTGTCTCATCAATATTCAAGATTTTAAAAAGGTATATTAAAAATATGAATAATACATCTAAATAATTTCAAAATTGAATTAAAATTAACTAAACTTTATGTATACGTGATATTGCATGTCACTATTTTTAATAAAACTAATTGTATATAATAAATTGTGATTAATTTTTGCAGGTTAATCGCAGGTTATGTGTTCTCTGTTTTGAACATTTTACACCGTGTGGTTTCCAATATATTTCTAATACACTTATTAAATATGGCTGAATCGAGAGGCGAGCAATTTTCTTTCCAAAAAACAGAAAAAGAATCTTCCTTACAGGTAATATATAGAAATGCACATGACTGTAATATTATTTATTGTCAATAAATTAATTGATTATTATACATATTTTTGTTGGTATAGTTTCCAGAAAACTTTTATATAGTTCAATTCCACGACGGGCTAGCACTAGTCCCTAATAACTGGTTGCAAGAATCTGTTAAAAAGCAACAGGTTTGCTTCTATCCAAATTACGATGCGAAAAAGAGGCTGAATAAGGCAATAAAAAATAAAAAAATACCGGATTTAAGAAATGTAAAAGCTGGCTGGGCAATGTATGATGTTCTACGCTTTTTTGCTTCAGCAGGTATATTTATAATTATTTATTAAAACTCTTTTTTCCTTTTTTTTTTGTTAAAAAATTAATTTTTTTCTTGGCAATATTAATACAATAAATAAAATTAAAATAATGTAAACAAGAGTCTATATTAATGATATATGTAATAAATGAAATTAAAAATTACTTTTTTTGACTTTATTGGATCGATTATTCATTGAATTGATATTGCGTAAAAATAAGAATTAATTCTATTTGAAAACTTAAATATTTTCTTTTAACATTAAGCTATCGACATATAATTTACACTACTCTTAATTGTCTATGTTTTGTATTTATAATTGTAAATATGTAATTGTCATTGTTACATTCAGATACTTTTGAACGAGGCCAAGAAAAGTTAAGGATGGCTGAAAATATATCGGACATAAATACTGAAGATGAAGAAAATGTGAAACAAACACGTCATGATAGAGCTACTGCAAAAAATTTTACGTCATCTGATAATGAATCTTCTGGTACAGAAGTGGATTCATTGTCTCCTTTACCAGACCCGAAGGAATTTTCTGAATCACAAAAATTGTTTTATTCGGAAAAGTCTGCACAGGTTTTAGCAACCTTTGAAAATCCAAGCATTGCACTCGAAAAAATCAAAATGATTCCAATTGAAAAGAAAAAACAGAGAATTATTGATCAACAAGAAACAGAAATGATCACTACACATAACAAGAAAGAGATAGAAAATAAAAATCAAGATTTTAACGATAAAGATGATGTTTATTCCATTGACAAAAAGTTAACAAATAAAAATAATGAAGATCAAACTCAAAAAGGTAAAAAGGATTAAATTTCTGGTAATGACTTAAATATATATATATATACAATATTTTAAAATATAAATTATGATATTATAACTTTTAGTGTTGAAAGAAATTTTAAAAAAAGTTAATCGCCTCCTGATTGAAGTAGCATACATTGATAGAAGACTCAATAGAATGGAAAATAAAATAACAAATCAAACCATTAGAAATCAAGAAAATAATATAAATGAAGAAGCTTTTACATTTAACGCTATTTCATCTATTAATGAGCTGCAACTTTTTGAAGAAAATTTAAAAAATGAAGAGTTTTTCGTGAAAATGGTAAATGTTTATTTTTACTTTTAATAAATATAACTATTAACAATACTGAATATTTATAATTTATATTATTTATAATTATTAAATAATTATGTATATGATTATATATAGTTTGATATATATATATATATATATATATATATGTGTGTATACATTCTTCTTTATAATGTTGAGTAAAAAATCAACATATATGATTCACATTCTCTCCAAAACCATGAAATATGACACATATTCCATACATAATTGCCAATATTTTTATTTTCAAACATATTCAATTGTAAGAATAATGTTTGATATTACCAGACTAGGTTTCATCATAATAATAATTTAAAATATATTTGATATTAAAGCTTGAAAGTATCTATGTTGGCAAAAATAATCTGATTTATCTTATGGTTTGATTCAACAGCGCAATGCTGATTTCATTAAAACTTCTGATAGCTATTAAATGAATTTTGCAATGCATCTAATCATATTTTCTAATTGTAATCTGCATAACCATCCTTCAACAAAAGGAAATAAACATTATTAACCATGTACATATATTTCAACGTATCATATTATGTCTTTAAAAATCTTAATTTCCTGCTTTACATTTACTTTAATATAACTGACTCACGTAAGAATTTTTTCTACCAAATTCTAGTATAAAATCACATAATAAAAGTATTTATTATATATATCAATTCAAATTAATCATCATTAGTAATATATATTTATATGGGATGATAAAAAATACTTGTTTATTTAAATTATTATATATTTATACTTATATATGCAAATTGTATATTTATAAATTAATTTCTCATTCTAATGTATTAATACCACTCAAAATCATTATTATGTTATGTTATATTATGTCAACTACATAAAGAAACTTTCCTTATTCATAACATTTTCGTGTTGTACATATATACAATATATATTATAATTCAAAATTATTAATCAAATGTAAATATTGCAGGAAGTTTGGTAATATAACGAAGTGTAACCATACAGTTTCCTTCTGGAGAACATTTCTGCATTCAACTAGGTAACCATTTCACAATGTTTTATTACGGATACGGCCTATTACGTATCCAAACTAAAATTATTCGCTATTATAGCGTTTTCGTCTGTAATAGCGCAGATTTTTGGCTTGCCCGTGGCGCCTATACAATTAGAAAAAGTATTTTTGTTTTGGGTCTATTACACATCCAAATTAACAGTATTCGCTTTTGTAGCATTTTAGTCTGCAATATCTCAGACCTTTCGCCTGCCCTAGGCGTCTAATTAGAAAAATCTTATTTGATACTTGCATCACTAGAAGGCTGCCCCAAACGCCGTATATCTATAACTAAAACTGTCCCAAACAACTGAAAATGGATCATCAGTGTCACAAGTTCCATTATGGTAATAAGGAAAAGAATATTTTGGCTTCCAAAGAATGGTTGACGGAAACGATGATAGACAGTTTCCATGCGCTACTCGAGAGCAATTCTGATTATGCACCTCGACCTGTATGGTTGACAATATTTCCCGATCAGATTGTTCCACTGAATAATTCAAAGAAGAAGCATTTGCAAATACTGCACAGTGATTTTGGTGGTGGACATTGGGTTGCTTGCCATTACGATGCAAAATCTATTATTATATATGATTCTCATGAAGATAGTCGTAATGCAAATATACAAAATTTGAATGGAGAAATTCGAATTTTTGTGGACAGATTATTTCCCTTTCATGATTGTCAAAACAATCTAATAGTTTTTCCTAAAGTTCAGTCGCAAGGTGACGGTTATACCTGTAATTGTGGTCCTATGGCAATTGCGATTGTTACATCTATTCTGTTTGGCGTAAATCCTTGCATCGTGACGTATAATCAATTGTTGCTAAGACCTCATTTGTCCGCAATGTTTGAAAAACAAACAATAACTCATTTTCCGTACTTCTATGATTCAATTGCTCCATTAACGCTACTGCCGTTGGAGACATTGAAAAGACGAGAGAGGGATGCACTGAGAAAAAGACGCACGTAGTAAGGAAACTGAGGAACAGCGTTCGAAACGAATCGAAAAAGATGCTTTTTCTCACAAAGAAAAATATTTTATGAATCCTGCAACAAAACGTCAGATAATGCGTGATCAGTACCATAAGGATCCTGAAACAAAATGTCAGATGGTGCGTGATCAGTACCATAAGGATCCTGAAACAAAATGTCAGATGGTGCGTGATCAGTACCATAAGAATCCTGAAACAAAACGTCAGATGGTGCGTGACTAGTACCATAAGGATCCTGAAACAAAACGTCAGATGGTGCGTGATCAGTACCATAAGGATCCTGAAACAAAGCGTCAAAAAATGCGTGATATATATAAAAAAGATCTTGAGGAAATACGTAAAAGAAAGCGGGGCAAATATCAAAAAGATGTAGAAAATAAAAGGTACGTCAAAAGAAAAAATTATTTAAAAAATGCTGCCCGTGAAAGAGACCGCCAACAAAAATTCAGACAAAAATATCCCGACTCAAAAAAATTGTACAACAAGAGGTGCAATGCAAAACGTAGCGAGAAGTTTATCGTACAAAGATGGAAAATGTTCAAGAGAATGAAGGAAAAATTTAATACCGTTCGATCTTGGCAAAAGTGTTTTAAGTTTCCAAAATATTTAGAGTTTTATATTCAACAGATGTCGAGAAAAATTAATAAATCAACAATATGTGCTCGATTGGAAGCCGAACAGATATTTAAGTGGTGTGTAATAGCAAAAAAATCGTACCTCAATGCAGCAAGAAAAGTGTTTTCATATTTGAAAAACGTTGTTGAAGCTGCGTTATTGCGATTCAATGAATGTAAGACTTTGAAATATCCAAAAAGCGATCAACTTAGAGCTCTTTGTGGCTTATCCAAACATACTTCGTCTTCCGAAGCGTACTTTTATGAAACTGCTTACAAGCAAAGGAAAAAGTTTGAGCAACCACTTATAATGAGACAATCCTCTCCTCACGGAGTAATAAATGTTTTGCCGTTAATAGATAACAATGGTAAAAAGTTAAAAATGTGGCATTGTGATGAGAACAAATGCCACATAAATGATACTTCCATGGAAAAGTTTGTAAAATTTTTGGAACTGTTTGAAGAAGGTACTTTGAAAAAGATAATGAATGTTAAATTCATGGCGCAGCTAAAAAATTGTTCCGTTTCACGTATGAGTAACAGATTAGGACATCTTCCGGAATGCTATACAAATCCGAATCTTTGCAAGTCATACATTGCAATGATAAACACTTTATCACCTCATTTTCCTTTCGTAAGGAATATTCGAAGAAATGTTTACAAATTGATCGACAATTATAATAAGTTTTGTCAACTGTTTTCATCTTTGAGATTCATCAATATGGATAAATTAGTTAAAATTTCCAATGATTTTAAGAATAAAGCAAGATTTTATCCAAAAAATGTAACTGATGTTTGTTTGGACGAGGAAAAGATTTTCTCGCAAAATTACGAAGCATTTAAAGTCATGAAAAAGCGATTGTTGGATTTACCACGTATCCCTTGCATCTCTTGCGAAAAATTATGCTTGAGAAGAGACGTTTCTAAGCTCGAGAAGCTGAGAAAAACAATAGACGGACCTTTTTGGAAAGATCTGATAGCAAACGTAACAGAACACAGTAATAATACTGAATTCGTTTGTAAGCTTTGTTTGGGTAAATTTCAAAAAGGCGTGTTGCCTTCTACTTGCATTTTGAATAATCTTGCGGTAAAACCATTACCAGATGTTTTGTCAGATTTCAATGATTACGAAAAAATGTTAATCAAGAGAATGAGCAGCTTTCAAGTAGTGCAATTGATGGGCAATGTTTCGAACAAACATATACCGCATAGACAAATAATCCGCAAAGTAAAAGGTAGAACATTTCATTTGCCTCTACCTTTACAAGAAACATTGGATAAGGTATGTCCTCCGGTAGATCCTATAAATTTGAATCACGAGTTGCACATTCTCGTTCGAGGTATACCCAAGAAATCTAAAGTGGTTTGGGAAAATTTGGTAGATATTAATAAAGTGTATAAGGCTTTACAATGGTTGAAAGAAAATAATCCTCATTACTCGAAAATTCGTCTTCCGGCGTTTATTAAATCTTTTCTTCTATTAAGTTTTCTGATCAATAACTTACTCCCTGAAAATACGGTATAACACAAATCGGAAGTTGATACGAAAATTCGAAATTTTACTAAAGAAAGATTGGAGGTTTTTAATTTATACAATTTTCACAACTCTTATTTCAATTATTTATTCTACTCATCGAAAGTTTTTTGAGAGCAGGCCGCCATGTTATTTTTCTGAGTCATTAACAAATTGGTACTCTGGAATTACGAGCAATTATTTTTCATTGTACGGGCTAATATGAATTTCAAATCAAATCTCTATAAACGACTATTATATTTTGTGCACTAAGAATAACATATCGCACTTATTTTCTAGAATCAAATTGTAATCAGTTTTACTTATATGTATGTATATTCAATGTGAACTTGCACCTTAGTAGTTATACTAGGAGAGTTCTAACTCAGGGGCAATGAGGGGGGGGTGAGGGGCGGGGAGGAATCGGGGGCGAGGGGGGGTGACATCACGCGGGGGAGGGGGTCTTATCAGTAGATAAGCTTATCTTTGTTTATAAACATATCAGATAACCTGATAAGGGGATCATGTTACCTGATAAGGGGATCATGTTACCTGATATATTTATAAACAAGATAAGATAAGGGGATCATGTTACTTGATATGTTCATAAACAAGATAAGATAAGATAAGCGGCGTCTTTGAGCGGTATCAAAGTTTTCATAAATTTTCTCCGAAAATCCAAGATAAGATAAGCTAAGTTTTCGAATCCAAGATAAGCGGCGTCTTTGTAAGGTATCAAAGATAAGCGGCGTCTTTGTAAGGTATCAAAGATAAGCTTGAGCGGTATCTAAGTTTTCATAAATTTTCTCCGAAGATAAGATAAAAATTCTGCGAATGGCTGCCGCCGTTTTTTTTTAGGCTGAGCGCCGACAATCAAGGGGGTTGCGTTTCTTCATCTAAATTTGGTAAGATAAAAATTCTGCGAATGGCTGCCGCCGTTTTTTTTAGGCTGAGCGCCGACAATCGGATATCTAAATTTTCATAAACAAGATAAGATAATTCTGCGAATTACTAAGAACAAAAGGTTTGCCGACAATCAAGCGGGTTGATCCGTACAGGTTGCGACATGTTAATCCGATCCGGCGTGTCTTGCCGACGGGGTGAAATTTATCTATGTATTTCTAAGAATTATCAGCGATATCTAAATTTTCTCCGAAGATATCACACAAATATTTCTCGCGAATTAACAATTGCATCATCATCCCCACGAACAAAGGGATGATCGGGATATATAATGAGGACCAATGCAGCTGCCGGGCCATAGTACCACTGGCGAGCGCA